TGACATACCTTCATGATTGATTATTTCGCAAAACATTGAGAAGGCTTGAATGTGTTCATGAGGATTTTCAATTCATTTTCCTGATAACCTGATGTCCTAATGATTTTGACATAAATTGATAATATCTGGTCAAATGTGAAAGTTGGCCTGCCTAAAAGGTGGATAAATAATAGTTAGCTACACATGAGCTAGAATGGGATTCACGTAATTCCGTACTAATAATTCACTTTCGTTGGCAATTACTCTTGGTAGAATTGGCTATGCTAGCGAATCTAGTGGTAACTGATTTGATGTTGATTTTCTGTCATTTCTCTTGCTTCTCTTTATTATCTTTGTTGTTGAATGTCCTTTCAATCTCGAGATCCAATGGTAAAGGCTTGATTTTGTTAGAATCTTAAATAAAAGGGTGGACAACACCTTAAAAAGAAAACCAAATAAAAGAAAGATTAAGTATGTAATTAATAGACTTAAACAAAATAAATTGAAATAAAATAAAAGAATTTGAATCCTATATAAACTAATAAACTCAAATTAAATACTTTATCTCCGACAATGGCGCCAAAAACTTATTTAAAGCAAAATCCGCAAACGTACAAAATCGATGATAAGTAATAAATTTGATGAGTTAAAAATATCGTCCCACAGATAATAAATTTCGATTCAAGTTTACTAATTTTGTCTTGAAATCGAATTACATGATACAAAAGAGATTTGATTTGTAACTACTTTAAATGATGCCAAGAAATATGTAAAAAGTGTGTATCAAATTATGGATGATTGTATTAAATTTCAAGTCCGCCTATTGCTATCCATCTCTATTCAAAATTATTTAGTTTAGTCATATTCATGCATTCTTGACCATCAATAAAGTTAAGATATTTAACTTTCTTTTCCAAGATACATTAAATCTATCATAATTACGACCCAAGGATTAGTAGCTTGAATTCAAATGATTAAAACGCATTAAATTTCAAATTATATATACAATTGGACTCATGATAAGTAATTATTCTTAACATCTATTACACATATATTAATTTTGTAACATTCTAAACTTATTGTGAATATTTCAACACTACAATAAGCAACTAATTATTGAATTAGTGGCCTATCGATTAAATAATGCAATGAGAATGTAAAATTAAACAAGAAACGTGAGAATTATTAAACTAATAGTCTTGAATTAAAATAAATAAACAATTATCTTCATCCAATACAAAAATGGATCTAGCCTAACATGATTTTATATAAATTACACGAAAAATAATAGAAAAATATCACATGGATCATGAAATAATACAAAAGATATCGATCTTCAAATTCAATGTTGAAATCCTCAATTTCTTGGTGTAATTGATCTTCAGTTATTGCTAGAACTTAATTTTCTCTCTCAAAATATATCAATTGGCCTCTTTCTTCTTCATGAATTTTATGAATGTATAATTAGAGGATATATAGGCGTCTTCAATGTTTGGTACAAGTTTGTATTTATAGAGACACAACAATCAGGTCAAAATCATGTAGAAATTGATTCCAATTATCTGTTTTAAATCGAAAATTGCCAAACAGGTCCTCGAGATTTACACAGCGCGACCTCAAAATTGGCTCTTGGTTAATTATTTCACAAGCCGGCACGGGGCGCCGGCTTTTCACTCGTGCACGCCTTCGAACTTTAAATGTTATGCGTTTTGGTCCCAGATTTCTCCCCATGTGTATTTTGAATCAATTGTTTTTATGATTTTGATCCTTCATATTTCAATTGCATCTAATTGAACCCAAGCATTTTCCAATTGCTGATATCAAGTCTGAATTAACTATGAGAAGTTTGCTCTTTAATCCTCAAACTTTGGATTTCGTCCTCTCTCACTCATTTTTAATTCCTTTTATCTAATTCGCCCATTTTTCTTCAAGTTTTACCTAACAAACACAATTAACACATAATTAAGCTAATTCATCCAAATCAACAACAAATACCCTAATTTAAAAAATATGCTTATTACATATAAATAAACAAAAATAGAACCTCGAACAAGTTCATAAAATGCAGTTATCATAGTTCTTCGGAGGAAACTTCTCCACAGAGGATGCCGACAAGATGGCAATTCGATGTGGACTTTTAATATCTTTCTGCCAAGTGATCCAAACTGAAACAGATGCAATGCAGGTGGTTTACGTGCTGAAGTCGAGTAACTTTCTATATCCCAATGCATTATTACATCTTGATGAGCGGCTGAAGTCGAGAAATCTTCTAGCTACCAATGTGTCCTTATATCTTAATGAAGGTTATTACACTACGCCAAAAATGATCATTTGTAATATATAAAAGGTAACATTCGGTAGTTAAATGTTGCTAAAGGGGTCTATCGCAACATTCTAATACGTGAATGTTGTCATTGCTTAATGAAATTGAGTTTTGGCAACATTTTTTAAGTGAATGTTGCTAATGTTGCATTTTTGCAACCTTTTTTAACGCTTCTCCCTTCACGCCTCCCTCTCCAACAAAACCTCTGCTGATTCCATTCGAGGATGTGGCGGATTTGTTTGAGGTAGTGACCAAATTCTGAAAATGATTTCGTTTTCTAGTCTAATGGAACAAAGATTTAGTGGATCTTTTAATATAGAATCCCCTGTTTCTTGTGCTTTGTTTTCTGTGTTGTTTTCTTGTTCAGGTGTTCCGGTGAAGATGGGCAGTTAGGAATAGGAAACAATGAAGAGAAAGAATGGGTTTGCACAATTACATCACTTTTGATTTGGAATGTGTTCTCGAGTCTAACTTGATTTGTAGTTGTTTAGGGTTCTCGAAGCAATAGTGGTTCCAGTTTTCTAAATCTTTTTAGTTTGTTGTAATGGGTGTGCGAATCGGATTTTGTTTACGTGACTGGTTGATTGTCTTATGAAAGTGTTCAGATGGATTTGAACTTTTAGAAAGAGCTTCCTATCTGAATGTGTTTCTCGAGTCATCATTTCCTTTCGTCCTTTAATTTGGAGGCCATTAACTTACCATTGCAAGATAAGTTTTTCTCGTCTCGGACTATGGTTGCAAGAGGGCATCTTGGAGCAGAGTTGCCCATCGAAGAGGTTCCTATATTTCAGGTAATTGCTGTGGGTGATTGTTGTGGAAACATTCATCTTTTGGTCCCCTTACAGTTCAATATGTATACTAGAGGGAACTTCGGTGGTTGAATGTTTCCACCCAAGTTGTCATGGTGGCAACAAATATGCTTGAGAGCATGATAGTTCATCTCACACCTACCAAAGCAAAGGTATCAGATATTGCAATTGCAGTTAGAGAGGGTGCTGATGCAGTTATGCTTTCTGGAGAAACTGCTAATGGGAAGTAAGCATCTTTACCTTGGATTTTGTTTGTAGTACTTCATTGAAGTTTGGGAGCAGAAAATACATAATTTCGAACAGAATGTTAGGGACGGGGATTCTTCCTGCTGAGTTTATCTTTTAATTCTTCTTTTTTTTTTTTTCCTATCATACAGGTCAATCAATTCATTCAACTATTTAGCAGCATTACAATTTTTGGATAACATATTCACTGGGAAAGTCCTTTCAAATCAGATTTGATCCCATCTATTGTTATATTGGATATGACCTTTGAAAATCTTTGGTTTGTTATGTAGAGTTACCTTTTTTACTAAAAAACATTAGAACTTCAACCGTTGTCTTCACCCGAACTGGTTTCATGGCCATTCTATTGAGCCACTATCGGCCTTCCGGCACAATATTTGATTTCACAAATGAGTGAGCCTTTGGAACTACTCTATATGTTCAACACGAGACTATGGTCTTCCATTATTAAAGCGCTTTTGGTGGCTGACTTTATGATATGTGTAATCTGATATTCATCCATTAGATACTTTTGAAAACTTCATATAACACGATTATTTGAAGGAAATGATTATTTTGTAATTTTTGAAATTTATATTAAATAAAGTTCCCGTGCAATTGATTTTTTACTTAATTGGGTTACAGGAAGAGACTGACTTTGTACCAGGGAGTTTGCCCTATATAAGAGTTCTCAGATAATGCAGCAGATGACTGAGGATCATTCCCAGCCAATCCCAAAGGGGGTGTGGATGTTTCATTTAGCTTTGATAGCTCCAATGATTCATGGGCAGTGTCTTCATCAAAAGCTACATCAGTTTCTTCCTCACCAGAGCCTTTATCCAAGGAAATCAAGAATTTGCACTCTCCAAATGAAGCAGATACTTTTAGCTATTCCCACCAAGTCTAAGGCCCTTATTCATTTTCCTAATTTCGTGTTACCATATCCATATCTATATATATATATATGACGACGATGATGATCATCAATAAGATTGTCTGTTATTACGTGTTAAATTGCCTACCATCTTTCTGCTCCATGTTTTTGAATTGTGAGGTTTAATGAATGACTGGAGTTGTTATTTTTAAATGTCTAATTTGCCTAATTAAAAAAGAAACAAAAGATAAAAGAAGGGCCAGAATCTTCCACTCAAATCTTCCATTTTCAATTTTGTCGATCAATAATCATATATATAACCTTAAAAAAATAAAAAAAAAGTCTAGGAGAACGTTGAAAAAATGCTACAAAAGATCCACCGCAACGTTTAAAAAACGCTGCAAAATGACGTTTTGCAACAGTAAATAAACGTTGCAAGTTTTCTCTCAACGGCAAAACCGACCTCCACAATACATGCTAAAATGCTGCAAAAGGTCTACCGCAACGTTTTTTTACCGTTGCAAAAGTTTTTTTTGGTGTGGTGTTAGATCAAACTACATTCAGCTATATTCCCAGAGACTGATTCACGACCATCCCTACTTCGCTTCTTTGACTGTATTCCTTTTTCTTATGAAAAAAGTTACTGAAGCACCAATAATAATTGGACGTGTCCCTCCAAAACAAAGTGAAAATTAGACAGCCAAAATACATTTTATTCGGTACAATCTCTTATTTGGTAGAAGCCATATCATTCTAATTAAAAAAAAAGACTGAAATTTAAGATGCAACTTTATGCTGGTTTCGAGCCCATTTCCTTCTCCTTCACTTCACTCCCTTGGGATATGTCATATTCTTCATCATGAAAAATTCATCAAAACTTCAGTCATCAGTACCAAAAAACTCCTTAAGAGGCAATACTTATCATTAGAATATAAATCCAACAAAACCTAACATAATTATAGATGTAAAGGGTCATGAGTGATTGATCAAAAGCAAAGAGAGAACATACCCGGGGCATTTCCATGACCAATTTTCTCCTCGTCCTCCTTTGAAATAGACTGGTTCCCTCCATACATTCTTCCAAATCCTTCTTCATCAGACCTCGAAGCATATCCTTCCCCAAATGAATCAATAGTTTCCCTAATTCCAAAACCATGTTAAACTCAATTCATTAGTTCATATATCTATACACACACACCATAAGAAATTTGTTGAAATTTCATTGACAAATTTCTTATCCTGAAAAATTCTTCGACAACCCTTATAATTTTTTCGTCCTTGAAGTGAAATATCTGTCTATACCTCCATTATTAACAAAAGGCCATCATTTTATGACCCCGAAAACATAAAACATGAACAAAACAAGAATTGTGTTCCAACCCTCTTTGATTTTTGGATTCCTGAGACTGGTCTATTTTCTCAGTGCTCTGAGGTTGATTAGGCCCTGACATGGCTTGTGCAAATCTGACTCCACAGCCTCTCCTGCTGATGCTATTTGGCAATTGAGAAGAGATTAAAGCTGCTGATGGTAGTACCCTAACTGATCGAACAGCTTTGAACATTTTCCTTCTTAACAGAATGTTTAGGTGAAAACAGCAGACAATAGTATGTATGTATATATAGAAGGGGACGAAAGAGATGAGGATATTGTGTCAGCATGGATTTGTGGATCAATCAAAGTTTCCCTCGTCATGCTGCGAACCAAAGGTGTAGGTTCTGGTAGTCTCACACGTATTCACTTTGTTTGACAAATGTATTGAGGGAAAATCTAGAATATGCCACACGTCTTGAAGTCATTGATTTTGTGTATGATAATCTATATCGGTCCATGTTTGATAAAATCAAATTTTAATAAAAGTTGATAAAAGTTAATAAAAGTCGATAAAAGTTAATAAAAGTTAATAAAAGTCGATAATTTAGCATAATTGATATTAAATAACATTATTTTAAGTAAAATGCCCGACGAGAGGGTCCCCGTCCATTCACCGTACCCCACCTTGCCCATTGTTCAACGGAAAAGGAGGGTGGATCTACAATTGCTGCTCCCCTGACTTGAGACAACAATCAGAAGTTGCATAAGTAATGGGCCAACATAAATGGAGGTGGAATGGGAATGTTTGAATGTCCGTTGAATAGAAATCACAATTCCATATCATACTGTGAATGATCGAAATGGAACATGTTTTGTAAATCATGATACATTATGATGTACTCAATGTTATCACAATTCTAGTAGGATCGTCTTCTTCATTCGTCTATTTTCATGTCCATCGATCATTTTCATTTCATTGAAATTCACCAAGTAACAATTTGGGAGAATACTAATCTCTTATATGCATTACGAATCAAAGATTAACCATAAGGAAATAAATAAGAGTGTTGAAACAAAAAGAAGAGAGAGAGAGAGAGAGAGACGACGCATCCTTGTCTTTTGTTTGTGAAAACTTCATTGGTTGAATAACTAGTACGTAAGCTCACGTGGCAAACTGACATCTTGACTTGGCCAAACTAAAAACTCTCCCATATACAGCGTGATCTTTTAATTAAAAAGTGAACAACCTCAATTCAAATCCAACTCGAAAAAGTAGGAAGTAATATCCGAATATCAATTGAAATATTTCTATAATCTTAAATAAAAATGGTCTGTTATAAAAATTCAAATTAGCTAGTGTGCTCTCTTCTTATCAAAAAGTGATAGAGCATGTCACTTTTTAGTGCAAAGCAAAGCCTCAATTCATAATTTATATTTATATTTTCAAAAAGTAGAGTTTTTAATTTTACTGACTTAGATCCAAAATTGATTTTTCATACATATACCACAGACATAACACCAAATTAGAAAATAACTACCTATTGTATTTGTGAACTATTGAAAACAGAAATTATTTAATTTCCCAAGCAAATTAACGTGTAAAAGTCAAAACATTCCACAGTCAAAAGTTTTAAATAAAAATGAGGTATGTCACCTGCAAAAAGAACTTGCAATCATGATTGTAAATGAAATTGGAAGTGAAGATATCAAATTTTGAAAAGTGGAATAAAATCTAGATTTTAATATAAATCAAAATCAATAATTAATTTCAACCACATTTTATGAGGGCCACGACTTTCAGCCACAATTTTATCAAAATCTACTAAAAGTCTGATTTTAATCTATATCAAATAGGGACATAAGATGTAGAGTTCTGAATTTTCTCAATTTTAAGAAGGAATAGAGCAAGATAACATCACAATAATCTGGAAGAAGTTGCTTTAACTCTAAATTTGAATTAGATGTGAAGAATTCTGTGAGAGTTCTTCAATTTTTGGATTATGTCAATTTAGGATTATGATTTGGGGAATTTTACTGTTGTTTAATGCACTAAAAATCTAATTTTAATCACAACCAAACACCGACTAATTTATATACAGAATTTTCAAATTGGTATGTTATTTTAGTGGATTTATGTAAATTGGTGTTGAGCACAAATGTAGGCAGCAATTGAACGTATCAAGTGTCAATAGTTAGATTGGTAATTTAGCATCAATGATATTAAAAAACATTATTTTACGTAAAATGTATGACAAGAGGGTACCCGAACCCCACCTTGCCCATTGTTCAACGGAAAAGGAGTGTGTATCTGCAGTTGCTGCTCCCCTTCCTTGAGACAACAATCAGAGGACTTGAAGTTGCATAAGTAATGGGCCAATATAAATTCCATTTATCGAGCTGATACCCACTACTCACAAAACCTTGTAACAAAGAAAATGGCATTCTTCCTTGATAAATTATAAAGAGCAAGTTACAACCACTGGAAATAGACCAGACAACTAGAAATCTGACCCAAGTTTTTTCTGCCTTTCTTCATCAGACATTTTGAAGATTACAAGTAATTGAATCCCAATATTCAGGATGAGACTGCCTTGACAATGCAACATTTTACCTTTATTTTCTACTTTAAGTTTGTCAAATGGTATCTCTCCACATTCTGCACATCCATCACATGTTTGGTATATAATATTAGATCATTTCAAGGAGACAATGATCCATGTATGGTAAACAATATTAGACCATTTCAAGAGTACAATGAACAAGATTATAATTTCTTTTACTAGTTTCTCCTCATCTTATCAAACATACCATCATAGTAAAAAACTCTTCCTCCATCAGTTAAGGTGAAATGCTAAAAATAAAAAGAGAACTCATAATTCAATGCTAAACCATATCACTTATAAGTAAAGAAACTACTTATTTTGACACCAAATTAAGAATTACTCATTTTAGACAACCAAATCACTTATTTTCAACTTTATAATTTTTATACTTACAGTGACCTTTTTTAACTCAGCAAAACCTGCCCTACACAGTTTTACCATCCTCATCAAGAACAAAAATTGGACAAATTTCACAACATAACTCGATCAAGAAAACAATTCATGGCAGATTGAGCATGAATTGGAAGAAGAGATTAAGCAGTAAAAAACCAATCAAATATACTAACACAGTCAATGCCATGAAGAAACACAAAGGAGAGGTACATCATTCCAGTATAAAGAGAGAAATCCAGGTGGAGAAGAATCAACCACCTTATAGGACAAACTGTAATTGTAGTTCCAAAGAAGTATTTTCGCTTGACTTTTCGAATAATGGCTGAGGCCTAATGGCTCGAGACCAGCATTCTCCATTAGTGACCTCCAAAATTCTTTATCTTCCATGCTAAATCTTCTTGTCCCTGATTCCTCCGCGCCCACCGCCCCGGCTATTCTCCGTCCGAACAAAAACCTTTCTATTCGTAGTCTGTCTGCTGAGTCACGGGCCAAGTTAGGGTCAAGTGATTCAAAAACTGCCCCATAGAACTTGAGTGCGTTCTTGAATCGATGGAGAAACTCACCCCGATTCAAGCTCGCTTCATACTCACCAAATGTCACCACACACGGATTCAAAGATTTCGCAAGCTTTAGAATGGCCTCAATAATTTCGGTACTCTCGTCGAGCAAATTATGCAGTTGGAGCATGAAATTCACTGCAATGACCTCGTCCGAGTGGACTCGGAATGTCGCTCTGTTTATCTCCTCCACTGGGGTCAAAACCGGTTCAAACTCGAAATTCAGACCCAACAATATAGCAAACTCACCCAACCGATTTCTAGTAGCCATCAGCAATGCTGCAGGAGAATATCCGAGAATTGGGGCCGGAATACCAGAAACCCGAATCATTTCAGGTTTTCCGGCCGGACGGGTGGCAAATGCCTGCAAAAGAGCAGCCCATTGTACACCCTGAACAATCCCAAAATCCAGTATGTGAATTCTTTTGGCATTCTCAGTGGCTTCAAGAATTGCTTGGTTTGCAGTCAAATGAGCAAATTTGGAGTAAGGGCAAGCATCATTGAGGACCTTGTAAAATGAATTGAACTCTTCCGAGGCAGCATCGTTAATACTTGGAGTTCTCTCCGCTGAAATGGAGACTCTGCTGTAGAGAGCCTGGTGGAAATAATACGCAACTCGCTCTATGGGATCCCCGTGTTGGGATACCGAGTCCCTGAGTTGAATCAAGGATTTCATTGCATTTTCAGGGTCTATTTCCGAGAGTCGAGCACACTCTACTAAGGCATTTAGTATTGGGTTTTTTGAAGGTGAAGATTCTTGGAAGCCAGTGGAAGTACCTGTATTGCCAGTAAAAGCGACGTGGTTTGGTACGGTGGCAGGTTGTGGCGGAAGTGGGACCCATGTGGAGGTTTCCGGTGGCTCGGAGAAGATGACTCGGTTGAGATCGGAGGGTGGAATTGGAAACGGATCGGCGGAGTAGAAATTGAACTCGGATTCCGTCTCCCAGGCGTCGCATTCCGAAGGGAATTTGGATCGCTCAGTTGACTCTTTGCCACCCATCAAGCTCTCCATCCACTCATCCGAATCAAACTCACCACCTGTTCCGCCGCACAAGTCCGAGTATCGGAACCCAGTGGAGTGCTGTTCCAGGTTGGGAAATTGAAATCCACGTTCAGAAGCATCCGTTTCGTCAGTTACCAGAAAAGGGTCGCCGTATCCTCCGCCGGCGCCATAGCTCGGAGAGGCGGCGGCGTTGTGTTGGTTTCCGGAGTCGGTGGAACAAAAGGGGCTGATGCTGAGAAGTTGCTGTTGCTGTTGATCTTGTTGTTGCTTCTGGTTGATGAGTTGCTGGGCTATCGCCATTAGATTTCCAGTGTCAGTACATGTGTACGCCATTTCTGCACCTTCTGGTTTGGATTTGAAAATCACATATTACCTAATACTAAGAGCAAGCAAAGCAAGTAGATGTAGTACGGAATAAAGTGTAAAATTTGAAAATGAGGGTAGACGTGAAAAATACGAAAAACTTACGAGTCTATAATTATTATTATTATTATTTTTTTTTTGAAGAATATATAATTAAAAATATATTTAGTAAAAATAATTTCGAAAAAATCTAAATAAAAATTTACACATCAATTCTTTTAATGTATAGACATTGCAACACATTCGTTTTCCATTTACAATTCTCGAGTACAATGCAGGATTACACTGAAAATTAGTTACTACGATTGTTAATTAAGTGAATGTGTTAATTTAAAAATTACAAATAATGGAATGTAATCCATTGGTGAAACTTGAACATGTAATGAAGTTCAACGATTCAATTAAATAAATTTAAATTTAGTGAAACATTTAACAATAATGTTATTCATAGTTAGCGAATCAGTAGCTATCTTATATGGTAGATTGTCATTCGTGGCATCAATTTTATGTAATTATGTTGCCTAAAATAATAAACTAATACCTCAAATAATAAGCTATCACATAGGATTTTTACTGAGAAGGAATGACCGACAAAATCAGTAGTCGTTGTCATTGGACATGTGTATCATGACGGTCGTTACTTTTGAAGATCTTTGTTTTTAGCTGACTCCTCTTCGTATAAAGAAAAATGTATTTGAAGTCTCTCCCCTAGCTTTTCAGGGTTTTCCTTCTACCTTATTCAGTCATAGAGTGAAAGGAGTGGGTGTAGAGACTTGTTTCTCAATGACCATAAATAACATTACTCAACATTTTAAATAACCTACTTTAAAATGGCAAAACTACTTTGCACAAGCTGCACTACAGTTGTCTCCACTGCGCTGGTCCTACAATTAGAATGCTTCGTATCCGACTCACATAAAGGTGGACTCATCTATCCAGAACCATTGAATTAGGAGCAGAGCTTGCATTACATGGGCATGCTTCACAGACCCCTGCCAGGTGAGACACAAAGGGGTGGGGGCCACATATATTTTTTTTAATACATTTGGGTGGGGCCTGTAAGGCCCATGTGAACCAATTTCTTGTACAGCAGGAATTATTCTTGAATTAGATCGAACTAGTCAGTTTAATTTTGATAATAATTATCCCTTTTTTAACCAAAACTAAATATATTTACTTCCCATTTTATTCATCTATTTTATTTTAAATTTTTATATTATTATATTTAAACAACATTGTTTTCTTATATTTTAAGGCATACTTTTACATACTTTTCTTTTAGATCAAACCATTTAATTTTTAAAACGACATTATTATATAAATTATATATTAAGATTTTGTTCAAAATATATTGAGAAATTAATAAATTAATGTAAAAAAATGTTCTAGAATAAAATTTACTATGTCCCTATTTAGGGTTGGACATGGTCCGGTTCGATTCGGATCGTACGGAACCAAAATTTTTGAGTATTTAATAAATGGAACCGTCGAGTCCAAATATAATTATGGAACCGTTCGGATTCGGTTCCGTTTGGTTCGGTACCATAATTAAATTTTTTAATATTTATAACAACACTACATAAATACAACTAATGACATTTCATTAGTAACTTTTACAAATTGGAACAGTTCGAGTTCGGTTATGTTCGATTCCTACCATAATTAATTTTTTTTAACATTTACAGCAATACTACATAAATACAACTAATGACATATTCATTCGTAACTTTTACAAATTAAATGCAACATCTAACATTAAGAATGTTGAATTCCATCTAGTAGGAACATCTAAAATAGTAAGTTTTTTTGCATACAATCGTTTCCCTTTTAATACAACATTTAAATTTCATCAATCGTGAAGGAGATGATCGAAAATATCAAATGAAAGTATGAAATTGAAAATGGAAGGATAAAAACTTAAAAAGACCTAGATCTTGGGCTGGCAATGAAATTAATAACTGGGCCAAAAAAATTGAATTTAGAAATTAGGTTGGACTGGACTAGCTAGGCATGGACTTGGCTCGGGAGTGGAAGCATTAATCACTAAATTAGTTAATTTGTCATTTTGTTTAGAAAAAATTAAAATAATTTAATTTATTCGATATAAAAAATAAAAAAATTATTTAGATTCAGTTCTTATTCGATTCTTCAGCTCTTGGTCTAGAATTGGAATCAATCGAACTCATCAGTTCTCGATTCAGATACTCATTCGCATATTTAACTTATAAAGAATCACTCGATTCAGTTCGATTCTAGAGTTTTGTCCAACACTATCTCTATTTGATGGTCATTATTATTATGTAAATGTATGGTTGAAAATGAATATAAGAATTAAATAATCTTAAACTAATGATTGTCCAATTGGGGTTACATTGTTATAAAATTTATATATATACACAGAAATGATCTAATGAGCACCGGTGCTCATCTTATATATATTTATTATTATTTTTTTCTCAAATACAACTCACAAATTTATGCTGATTGGGTCATTGATGTTGCAATCTCCACGTGTACGAGATCCTCTGCTATTTTTTTAGTGATACGTTGCCACGCACTGCTTGGCCATACAATGAAATTTCCTCTTTAAAGATGATGTATCGTGTAGGGATGTCAACGAGACGAGTTGGGGCTCGAATCGAGTAAAAATTGTTCGAATTTTTTTTTTTTGCTCGAGCTGAGCTTGTGTTCAGCCAAAAGATCTATACTCAACATGGCTTTCTACTCGAGCCGGCTCGCGATTTTTTTCTTTACACAAATCAACAAACAACAGGTACCTATGATTTGATTTATTATTATTATTTTTTTTAAATTTACTTGTCACGGGTTGGCTCGGGCAGACGCTCCAAAATGGGACTTGATCTGAATCGCAAGTCAGGTCGACTCGAGCTTTTTTTGGATCGAGCTACAGATTGTTCGATTCGACGAGTCAAATGGACACATCTAGTCTCATGACATCATTGCATTCTAATCTTCTGGGAATACACACACTCAATCTTGGCCGTTCATTATGGAAAGGACAATTTTACACACTTTTTACCGTTGAAGCAATGAAAAGAGCGAATACTTGGCTGTTTGTCGACACATACACAAATTGAAAAAGTGACAACTCCCTTCTCTACTTTAGGCTTTATGATGTAGACAAAAATCAATTATTTAATAAATTTTGAAAAAAGTTGATTGTGTGTATGATTGAAAAGTAATTGGTCGATGAATTGTGCGGTTTGACTTAAATTTTAATTCATTTTTATAGTCGAAACGAACATATGCTTAAATTTTATGCTTCTTTTGGATTTAATGATAATTAAGTGGTTGATAAGTGGATATAATTATGAATTCTATAAAATATGTTTCTAAATTATAAGGAACTTATAATAAAACCCAGACAAATACTTTATATTCAAAACTCCATAAATTTAATTGTATTTCCTGTGGACGTCAAAATGCGAACGATTCATTTGTCAACAAATTTCTTTATCAAATATTAGATTGTAGAAGAGATAAATGCACATAGTTTTGTCTGAGTTTATGATATTGCAGACTTTCTATGTGTGCAAGTATTTATAGAAGATTCGAGTATTAATGACTTTTCAAAGTACCCGTTGCCTCATCGTCAACCCTGTGTCAGTCATATATTTGACTTGTACTTGTTGTAACCGTTATAATGTACTTCTTGTTTAGAGTTTATGATATTGCATACTTTCTATGTGTGCAAGTATTTATAGAAGATTCGAGTATTACTGACCTTTCAAAGTACATGTTGCCTCACCTTCAACCCTGTCAGTCATATATTTGATTTGCACTTCTTGTAACCGTTACGATGTACCTTTTAGGTGATCCATTACCCTTGTCTCATCAAGAATATCAAGTTGACAACCTTTGCAGGAAAAGATTTGAGACGAATTACCATGGGTGTTAAGTAAGGGTGGACGTGGTTCCATTTGGTCCGGTTCCAAAAGAACCAAACCAAACCACGAACCAATGGTTTTTTTTATAATGGAACCAAATAGGTTTTTTTTAAGATGCAAACCGAATCGAACCGAGCCATTTGGTTCTGATTCAGTTTGGTCTGGTTCTAGTACTATTCCTTAAATTTTCAGATTTGCATCATATTCATAAGTTGCTAATATATACTTAAATAAAAAATATAAGCATCAAACATTTAGTAAGTTCAAATTATCAATAATCAAGACCATAAAAGTCCAAACTAACAAACACAATATAAACGAATGAGTCATTGCGATAAGTTAATAATATCGAATTCCATTTTCATCCCCCGTCCAATCAATTCCTTTACACGAAGCCGTTAAACCTACATGAGAAAACTGAAATATAAAGTTAAAACTCGAAACTAATAGGCAGGGGTGGTCACAAAATGACCAAGCCAAGCAATTTAGCCCCTTACCATCAGATAACCATTAAACGTTTAATACTCCATTACTTATGTTGTAACATTGAGAAATTCTACAAACATAATTCAAAATACACAATTAAAACAAACAAAAATAAATTAAAACAATTTACAATTAATAAGATGTAACGTAATAATATTTTATAAAATAAATTTTACCAGATTCAATTTCTTCATAGAACTCCGTCTCCTCAATGCAAAATCAAATTTATACAAAAAATAAAATTATAAATTAAGTTTGGTTCTCGATTTGGTTCTTGGTTCTAGAATCAGAATCGAACCAAAACTATAATCAAATATTTTTTGTTTGAAGAACCAAAACTATTAATTTTTTTATAGAACCGATTCGAATCGTTCGATTTGGTTTGGTCTGAACATTTTGTTCACCCCTAAATTGTTAAGAGAATTTTACCACATTGAAAACATCTTGTGGGTCCTTTACTTGTCAAACGAGATAGGAGGAAGATTCTTCTCAAGGTAGAGGGTTCTCTCTTGATTGGCAAGGCGGTCAAGCTTGGACCAACTTCTTCGTTTAGCTGGAGCCTGGAGGTTTGGTACT